AAGAAATAAAGACAAAGAAGGCACACAAAAAGAGCGAGGCAGAGAAATGGAATAGTATGTTACAAAAAACCAAGGCAGGAGAGTTTCAAGCAGGAATGGGTGGGCAATGTAGTGAATTGCTACAAATAGAGTCAAGAGAACCAGGACAAAATAGTTCTTAACTTTCCAGGTGCAGCATTTACTCTATTTTTCATTTATGTGTTATTTTTAGAGCAGTTGTGGGTTCACAGTAAAATTGAGAGGAAGGCATAGAGATATCTCATGTACCTGCACACCTGCCCCACACCTGCACAGCCTTCACATTATCAACATTCCCCCCACCATCATTCATCCCAACTGATGAACTTACATTGGCACATCATCACCCAAAGTCCATAGTTTACATTTGGATCCACTCTTGTACATTGTATGTTTTTTTGTTTCGTTTTGTTTTGTTTTTTGACAGGGTCTTTGTTGCCCAGGCTGGAGTGCAGTGGTGCGATCGCAGCTCACTGTAACCTCAAACTCCTGGGTTCAAGAGATCTTCCTCTCTCAGCCTCCTGAGAGTAGGTAGGACTGCAGGCATGCGCCACCATGCCTGGAAAATGTTTTAAAAATGTTTTGTAGAGATAGGGTCTTGCTGTGTTGCCCAGGCTGGCCTTGAACTCCTGGCATTAAGCAATCCTCCTGCTGAGGATTACAGGTGTGAGCCGCTGTGCCTGGCCATTTTATGGTTTTTTGACAAATGCATAATGACATACATTCACCATTATAGTATCATACACCGTAATTTCCCTGCCTTCCAGATCCTCTGTGCTTTACCTATTTATCCACCACTACCCGTTAATCCTTGGAAACCAATGTTTTTTTTTTTTTTTTTACTGTATTCATAGTTTTGCCTTTCCCGGAATGTCATATGGTTGGAATATGTAGCCTTTTCAGACTGGCTTCTTTCATTTAGTAATATGTATGAAATTTAAGGTTTCTCCATGTCTTTTCTTGGCTTGATAGTTCATTTCTTTTTAGTACTGAATAATATCCCATTGTCTGAATGGACCACAGCTTATGTATCCATTCACTGGCTGAAAGACATGCTGGTTGCCTTCCAAGAATATTATGAAGAAAGCTGCTATAAATATCCATGTGCAGGTTAAAATTTTCTTATTGAGGTAAAATGCACATAACGTAAAATTTACCATTTTAACCATTTTTAAGTATACAGTTCAGTGGTATTAAATACATTCTTGTTGTGCAAAGATCACTGCCATCAGTCTCCAGAATGCTTTTCATTTTGTAAAACTGAAACTCTGTATCTATTAAACAATAATTCCCCATTCCCTACTCCTAGTCCCTGGAAACTACCATTCTTCCTCCCCCCCCTTCTTCTCCTCCTCCTCCTCCTCCTCCTCCTCCTCCTCCTCCTTCTCCTTCTCCTTCTTCTCCTCTCTTTAGCATAACTTATTCCTTGACAAGAGACTCTGCTTTCAATCCTTTGGATGTATTTACCTACAAGTGAAATGGCTGGATCACATGGTATTCCACGTGCAGGTTTTTGTGTGGACACAAGTTTTGAACTCATTTGGAAAAATACCACTGAGCACAACTGCTCGATCATGTGTTGAGTATATTTTGCAGTAAGCAACTGCCCAACTGTGTTCTGAAGTGGCTGTACCATTTTGCAGTGCCACCAATGAACGAGAGTTGTTGTTGTCCCACGTCCTCACCGGCATTTGTTGTTGTCAGTGGTTTGGATTTTCACCATTTTAACAGTTGTGTAGTGTATCTTGTTGTTTTAATTTGCAATTCCCTAATGGCATAAGATGTTGAGCATCTTTTCAAATGATTATTTGCCATCTGTACAGCTTTGGTGAGATGTCTGTTCAGATCTTTTGCCCATTTTTAAGTTAGATTGTTTTGTTATTGTCAGAATTTTAAGAGTTCTTATATTTTGGATGATGGTTCTTTATCATATAAGCCTTTTGCAAATATTTTCTCTTAGTCTATCACTTGTCTTCTCATTCTTTTGACAGTGTCTTTCACAGGACAGAAGATCTTAATTTTAATGAAGTCCAGATCATTTGTTATTTCTTTCATAGAACATACCTTTGGTGTTGTATCTGAAGAGTTATTGCCATATTCGAAGCCATCTACATTTTCTCCTATGTTATCTTCAGACGTTTTATAGTTTTAAATTTTACATTTATGTCTGTGATCCATTTTGAGTTAATTATGGTGAAGAGTATAAGGTCTGTGTCTAGATTTATTTTTGCATGTGGATGTCCAGTTATTCCAGTACTATTACTCGAAAAGACTATGTTTACTCCATTGTATGGCCTTTACTCCTTTGTGAAAGATTGGTTAACTCCCTTTGTGTAAGTATATTTCTGGGATCTCTATTCTTTTCAATGAATATATTTGTCTGTTCTTTTGCCAACACAACACTTTCTTGATTACCGTCATGATTACGTTACAGAAAGTACTAAAGTCAGGTAGTGTCAGTCCTCTGAATTTGTTCTACTGTTTTAATATTGTGTTGGCTATTCTGGGTCTTTTTCTTTTCCATATAAACTTTAGAATTAATTTGTCAATATCCACAAAATAACTTGCTGGGATATTGATTGGTATTACATTGAATCTATAGATCAATTTGGGAAAAAACTGACATCTTGACGATATGGTGCCTTCTTATCCATCCATATGGAATATTTCTCCATTTATTTAGTTGTTTGATTTCTTTCATTAGCATTTTGTAAGTTTTCTCATATAGATCTTGAACATATTTAGATTTATACCTAAGTATTTCAGTATATATTTTATTTTTGTGGGTGCTGATGTAAATGATATTGCACTTTAAATATCAAATTCTACTATTTTATTGTATTTTAATTTCAATTTCCACTTTGTAGGAAAGCAATTGACTTGTATAATAACCTTGTATCCTGCAACCTTGCTGTAAGTGTTTATTATTTTGTATTATTTCAGATTTTCTACATAGGTAATCATGTCATCTGTGAACAAAGATAGTTTTATTTCTTCCTTTACAAGCAGTATACCTTTTATTTGCTTAGTATGGTGTTGAAAAGGAATGATGAGAAGAGACATTCTTGCCTTGCTTCTGATTTTAGCACTAGTTTGTCATAATTGAGTATGAGGTTGACTGCAGGTTTTTTTGTGAATGCCCTTAATCAGGTTGAGAGAGTTCCCCTGTATTCCTAGTTTTCTTAGAGTTTTAATCATGAGTGGATGTTGGATTTTTTCAAATGCTTTTTCTGCATCTATTGATATAAAGTATGAAATATATATGTATACGTACTTATTACTATAACAATATTTTACTGATATAACAACCATATGATTTGTCTTTTTTAGCTTGTTGATTTGGTGGATTACATTAATTTTCAAATGTTGAACCAGTCTTGCATACTTGGAATAAATCCCATTTGGTCATGATGTATAATTTTTTTAATGCATTGTTGGAATTCAATTTGCCAGTAATTTGTTGAGGATTTCTGCATCTATGTTCATGAGAGATAATAGTCTGTAGTTTTCTTTCCTTATAATGTCTTTGTCTGGTTTCGGTATTGGGGTAATTCCGGCTTCACAGAATGAGTTAGGAAGTACTGCGTGTGCTTTTGTATTCTGAAAGACATTGCAGAGAACTGAAATACTTTTTTCCTTAAATGTTTGATAGAATTTATCAGTGAGCCTATCTGGGCCTGGAGCTGCCTATTTTAGAAGATTATGAATTACTGATTCAATTTCTTTAGTAGATATTGGTTTATCCAGATTGTCTATTTCTTCTTGTGTGAATTTTGATGAATTGTCTTTTAGGAATTGGTTCATTTCATCTAGGTTACCAAATTTGTGGGCATAGAGCTGTTCATAATATTCCTTTTCTATCCTTTTAATGTCCATGGAGTCTGTAATGATGCTCCTATTTCATTTCTGATGGTAGTAATTTGTATCCTCTTTCTCTTTTTTTTAAATTAGTCTGGCCAAAGCCTTATCCATTTTACAGATCTTTTCAAAGAATCAGCTTTTGGTTTTGTTTATTTTCTCTATTGATTTTCTGTTTTCAATTTCATTGATTTCTGCTTTAGTTTTATTATTATTTTTCCTTGTGCTTGCTTTAGATTTCATTTGCTCTTCTTTTTTTTTGTTTCTTGTGGTGGCAGCTTATGTTATTGATGTCAGATATTTCTTCTTCTTTTTTTTTTAATTTCTTCTTTTTTAATGTATGTGTTCAATGCTATAAATTTCTTACTGGGCACTACTTTTCCTCCATCTTATACATTTTGAAAAGTTGTATTTTTATTTGAATTTAGTTCAAATATTTTAGGCTGGGTATGGTGGCTCACGCCTGTAATCCAGCATTTGGGAGGCTGGGGTGGGCGGATCACTTGAAGCCAGGAGTTCAAGACCAGCCTGGCCAACATGGTGAAACCCCAAATCTACTAAAAACACAAAAAAGTAGCCGGCTGTGGTGGCTTGCACCTGTAGTCCCAGCTATTTGGGAGGCTGAGGCATGAGAATCACTTGAACCCAGGAGGTGGAGATTGCAGTGAGCAGAGATCATACCACCGTGCTCCAGCCTGGGCAACAGAGTGAGACTATGTCCACAAACATATATATATATATAAATAAATGAATAAACAAAATATTTTAAACCTAATCTTGAGATTTCTTCTTTAATTCATGTGTTTTTAAGAAGTGTGTTGTTTACTGTCCAAGTATTTGGAGATTTACTAGCTATCTTTTATTGATTTCTAGTTTGATTTTCACTGTGGTCTGAGAACACACATTATATCATTTCTAATTTTTAAATTTGTTAAAGTGTTCTTTATGGCCTAGAATGTGGTCATATAGATTTTCCTCGACATGAGAATCTGTTGTTTAGTGTAACCACTTTCACACATTATCTTAGCTAGATCTTCTGGATAACTTGTTTCGGCTTCTACACCAGCACTTGCTGATCCACCTTCCACTTTTTTCCATGCTTTTAATTTTTTTTTCAGAAAAGGTTCTTGAAGAAAGTGAAAAGTGCTACTCCACTGAACACACACAAATAAGGAAGTACAACAGCCGTATTGCTGATATGGAGAAAGTTTGAGTGGTCTGCGTAGAGGATGAAACCAGCCACGACATTCCCCTAAGCCAAGACCTAATCTAGAGCAAGGTCCCAACTCTTCAGTTCTGTGAAGGTTGAGAGAAGGGGAGAAGCTGCAGAAGAAAAGTTGGAAGCTAGCAGAGGTTGGTTCATGAGGCTTTGGGAAGTAAACCATCTCCATAACATAAACGTGCAAGGTTGGCTGGGTGTGGTGGCTTGTGCCTGTAATCCCAGCTTGTGCCTGTAATCCCAGGGTCTGAGGTGGGAGGATCACTTGAGCCAGCAGTTTGAGACCAGCTTAGGCAACATAATGAGACCCTATCTCTAAATTTTTTTTTTAGTTAGCCAGAAATGTTGGTGCACACCTGTAGTCCCAGTTACTCAGGAGGCTAAGGCAGGAGGATAGCTTTGAGCCTAGGAGCGATGGCGATGAGCAGGTGGAAATCAGTAAGTTCTGGAAGAAGACTACAGATTCCCCACCCATTTGTCTGGGTGGTGTTCCCTGCCCTAAACCCTGGGCAGAAGACACAAAAGAAAGAAAGGAACAGTGGAAGGAAGATAAAGCAAAGGTCTTAAGAAATGCTGACAGCAAAAAATGGTGTCTTACCAAATGGCCTGTTCACAGTGAGCTAGGACTAATAAGAGAAGCATTTTTTTAAACCAACATTTTTTTCCTTATTGTAACAAAATCGGTTACATAGGAACATTGAGAGGTTATTTCTCTGTATAGGAAACTTTGGATAATATCTAACAGTGCTCAAAGTCAGGCATTACACTTTTAAAATTTGGGTATGTAAGTATTATTCTACAGGTTGCTGTCAAAGGACAAAATGATCACAAATTTAGAGATTTCAACTGGTTTCACTGCAATTCTACAATCAGGCAATACTTCATCCCATAAAATAGAATGAGTTCTGATGAGCTGAGCAGAGATTGACTTTATTGACAGAGGAGAGCTGAAGAAAGCAGAAGCAAAGAACAAAGAATAAAAGAATATATTAGTCCTTTCAAAGTGATTTTTCTTGGAAGGTAGGGAACAGAGACACAGGAGAATAGAAAAGTAACTGATTAGTTAACCTCAGGCTACTTCAGGCTACCTTTTTTGTATAAGGATTAAAGCAGAGAAACTTCATAATCATGCTGATTGAAGCTGTAAACTGGTCTGTTTGGGATATTCTCTCTGTCTCTCTCTTTCTCTGTCTTGCTCTCACATTCGCTTCCTCAGAAGGTCAGGAAGATCAGTTAGTTTGGGTTTGGTGACATGGAACTTTCGCCAGGGTGACTTCATTTTGATGGAGTCTAGTCTACTGGGGCCTAGTGCTGGAGTTTAGCCTCAAACAGTGGCCTCCTGCAATTTTTATTTAGCATTGCAAATATAGATAATGCAGACTGTTTGGTATATTCTGATGCATGGACAGTAATTTAAGCTTTAGGTTTACGAAATAATCATGATATTTTATGGAAATAGAGGAATGGTATCACATGTTGCAGTTTTTCCCAAATGGGAGTCAGAGTTCTCCAGGAAAGGGGTCGGAGACTGCCCTTCTGAGCAGGACAAAGCTTCGCGCCCAGCTCCCCGCAAGAGCCCTCCCAGCACATTCTCAGTGTCTGAGCCTTCTTCCCATGGTCTCAGGCAGCTGCCACTTGCTCTTCCTGATAGCCGGTCCGTAGCCATCTTTCCAGGGAGCTTTGGGGGAGGGATAACGGTGGTGAGAAAGGCATGTCAGCATTGTATGCCAGCCGGCAGACGAGGCGGACTCTCTGGCTACCATGAGCCTCTCGAGGAGAAATTAAGTGGCCACAGCTGGGAGAAGGGTTTGGTCACATACTCCCACCTTGTTAACTACCACGAGGTTTGTTAACTGCCATAAGACTTTCTTCCTACTGTTAGGCAGAAACTCCTTTTTTTCTCTCTCTCTCTCTTTTTTTTGAGATGGAATCTGGCTCTGTCGCCCAGGCTGGAGTGCAGTGGCACGATCTCAGTTCGCTGCAACCTCTGCCTTCTGGGTTCAAGCGATTTCCTGCTTCAGCCTCCCGAGTAGTTGGAATTACAGGTGTGCCACCACACCTGGCTAATTTTTTGTATTTTTGGGGTTTCACCATGTTGGCCAGGCTGGTCTCGAACTGCTGGCCTCAAGTGATCTGCCAGCCTCAGCCTCCGAAAGTGTTGGGATTACAGGCGTGAGCCACTGGGCCTGGTCCCTACAGCTAGGCGGAAACCCCTTCTAGGAAAACATTGCCTAACTGACACCCCTACCTTAGGCGTCCTGCCAGCAGCACCGATTGGGCAGGAGAACGCTCTTACAAATATTCTTTCCTGTAAGCAGCTATAGACCCTAAGCTGGTTCCAGCCAGCTTACAGACTGCGTCAAGGGTCTTTGCGTACTGTAGTTCACCTTCTGACATAAATGAGCAGAATTCCTCCTCATTTTAATATTAAAAGCCTGCCCCCAAGTGAACATGAAATATATGATACATACATGTTAACTCACTGTGCATGCTTTACTTTCTCCATAAATATTCATAGGCATTTCCCAAACCTGATAAATATGCATGTAAGACAGACCCTGGAAGGCTGAAATGCCACTGTTTTCTTCTCTTTGGAGAAGTGTTTTTGATTTTCCTGGAAGCTACGTTTCCCTAATCTGCAGGCTGTGACTCAGAAAATACATTTTTTTCTTTTTTCCTTCCTCCATTGATCTCATGGTCATTTGTTAACAGGTAGATGTAGTGGCTGAGAGTGTGAGCTCCTGTTCTCCTAGTTAAAATGAACCATTCCCCTTTGTTCTTTTCTTGTGTTTTGTGATCTTGATTACACTATTTACGGTCTGTATTTCCCTATCTCCTTAGGTGGTGAGGTTTCGGAGTGCAAAGTTCTGTCTAATTGGTCTTTCCATCTCCTACAGGCTCAGCACATACCTATTATAGATTGGGTGCTCCACAAGCATTTGATGGAATTGAATCAAATGAAATAATGATGCTAAAAAGAAATGAGTGTTCAATGTGTGAGGCAGCACTGAATAATGGTTAAGAACTTAGGCTTTCCGGTAAGACCAGCGCAGTCTCCAGAATTTCCACACTGCATGGGTTTAGGAGGGGCTGTCTCTGTGGGAGGGAGAACAAAGGCATTTGTCGTAAAGCTTCATTTGCATAGAAATCCTTTGTTTTGACTAAATCCAACAGCCTCCTGAAAGTAATTCTTAACACTATCTTTGCTACAGACGGCTAAGGATTAAAATAACCTCTCCAACTTAAGTTTCCACATATGCAAAATAGATAATAGTAAAGTAATAATACGGACCCCATTCAGGTGTTGTGAGGATCACTGGGATAGTGTGTGTTAAGTATTCTTTGGTCTACCACACTAAGTATTCAATAAAAAACTATTGTTATTATTACTGTGATATTTTAAGTTGGTTGTATTCATAACATGTTAGAATGTTAGAAGGGAACTCAGAAACAGCAAAAACACAGGCTTTGGAGTCCACAGACCTAAGTGGGCATCCTGTCTCCACCCCTTCCTAGCAGGGTGACTCTGGGTACATTGCTCATCCAGTAACACCTTGGTATGTGAGAACCACCTGGACTTGCTAAAATCGTATTCCAGGGCCCCACCCTAGATATTCTGATTGAGCTGTTTTATGGTGAGGCCCAGAGAACTGCATTTTACGAGTTTTCCAGGTGATTCGGATTCATGAACTCTATGAACCATAGTTTGTGAAATGTTGACTTAATCTCTTGAAGTCTCAGAGTTTTATTTTTTCCCCCCATAAAATGGAGCAGCGATACCTGCTTCATGGTTTTGGATGGAAAATACCTGGCCCCAAATCTGGCTTATTGCAGGGAATCTGGCTTCCTGTGCTTAGAAGCTTTGGCTGTCTTCCTTCTAGATATGGTCTCTTCAACTATTTCATTCAACCATGTGCAGCCAGCGTCACAGAAGAGACCAAAGTCTGTGTTAGAAGTTGATAGAATTCAGGCAGCAAGTCAAAGACCAGCAAACATTAAAGAGTAAAAAGTGTTTGTGAAATAGATCAGATGTATTTTGCATAATATACCTCCGTAATAGAATGGGGTCCCCCTGCCCCCTGCAAATCAGCCATGTATGGAAATAAAATAATTCCACTCTGATGAGCACATTTCCCTGCTTTCAAATGCCAGAAACCATGTGAACAGTGAACAAGGAAGGCCTGTACCGTCACCATCACCATACAACAGTTTCATAATGAACTCTACAAATTTGACTTCTTGCCTGCCTCTGATTCTTTAATGGAATATTAGGAGAAAATTAACAGAGTCTGATGACCTCAGAGGACTTTTGAGGGGAAGGCTAAGTCCATGCTGGACTGAGTCAGCTACGTAGAAAATGAAACTTCAGTTTGCCCACACCCTGCTGCTTTTAAGATTCTTATTTGCTACATGTGTGCTTGATCCACCCATCCCTCTTAGCTGATGTTTGCTGCTGCTGTTGCTACAGAATGGGAGCTTTGAAGACCTGCTTCCTATAATAAGCTAGATGAGCTCATTTGTTAATGTTTTTCCTTCCTGTTATACTTTTCAGTATGTTAGGCTGCTATTTAACATTGAATTGTCACAATCTGTGGCATTATATAATGATATAATTTCTTTGCTGTGTAATTGGTAAAGAACTTTGTGATGATTCTGATGGGAGGTAGATAAAAACTATCAAGAAACATAAGGCTGTGAGTATATAAATGCAAAAATAGCCAATTCCATCAACTCTTCCCAGAATGAGTCGGGCAAAAAACATTAAGTTTCCTTTTTGGCTTTTTTTCTTCTGTGCAAGGAAAATATTTTAAACTGAATTTTCTCCCTTTTCATCCATTGTTTGTGGACACAGGATATAGACCAGCAGGGGAGAAGCCAAAAAATCTGCTGAAAGCTGGTTCTGTTTAACAGATTAGATTCAAATTTGTTTTTAAGAAGAACGAATTTGTAATATTTTATTCAGGCACAGCAAAGGCAATATAATCAGAGTGAAATCTGCCTTGAAGAAAGAATTTTTGTAATTATAAACTCCCAAATAAAGATTTGAAACAGAATCTGATTTGCCTATTGATGGGTAGCTTTTCTTAGTTTTAATTTATCTGTACGCTCACTCATTCATTCAACAAACACTGGC